TATTGTAAAAACAGCATGTAGATTTTGAGCTTAATTTGCTTTTTCGACCGTCTACGGCTCACAAAGGGCCAGAAGAATTTTGTAATTTTAAAAGCCAGGGCTTCTGCTAAGCGCTCCAAAGCCGTCTAAAAGACCATCTTGCTACACCTTTCCTGCCAACTGCGATAAAGCCTTTGAAACTACTTCGAATAGACTTAGAGAGGCGTTAGATGTTATGCTTAAAATCCAGATCCTACACTTTAAGGTTTACGAAGTGCTCCTGATTGAAAAGATGCCCTCACACTCATCTGTACAACCTGGATACATTTGCAAAAAAAATTAACTGGACCCCTGTCCAAGAGGCTACCTTGCTGCAGTTTCCAAAGATCGTTGAGATTCTACGCATTGGTTAAAGGAGAACCCTGATCTACTTAGCCCCTTATAGCGAAGCGGATCCTCCAAACAATGATACCATATTATATAATTTGCTTGGCTACTGGGAGGAACGATCTCTTCCCTCACAGGCGACCATAAAGTGTTTTCTAAAATTTACACTTGAAAGTAACTAAACCGTTGTTGGCATAAGCAATAATCAGATAGCATCTTAACTCTAGCTCCTCCAGAAAGTCCTTGCCGACGAAGATCTAGAGAAAACTTAAGAGGACGCCTTCTAGTGGCGTGCCTCTGCCTATCACACGCTGGACATAGTTGTTGCTAGGAACCATTTGCCTTACATACATATAAATCAATCAGTCTCTCTAATACCGTCAATGGGAATGAAATCCTTAAGACAAGAGTGGGCTATTTTCAGTAAGAAAATGTTTTGGTTACTCAGACGCTCTCTTCGACAACATAAGCACAACTGTGTACTTATATATGAAAGGTGTTTCGGGGGATGTTTGACTCACCGGATGGGTATGGCTGTTTACAAAAAGTTTTCAAGTATTAATAATAATATATTGGCATAATTCGAAAAACAATAAAGAGTCTGGAATACAGCGTACATTTCTAATAAAGATAAAGGAAATAACCATTTAAAAAAACTGACGAAAACTATTAAGGTACACAAAAGGTGGAACTGACGTCAGGAATTCTCAAAAGACTTTGAGGTTTAAGAGATATGATTAATTCAAAAAATCATTGTAAAAATTCAGTGCAATATATTTACATAAAATTACAATATGCATCTGTACTATGTAAGAACGTAGCAAATGAAAGAAAAATTAAAAAAAAAAAGAATTGGTTCTCAAGGATGAATAGCGATTGAAAATGACATTCTAATTCGTTTTTTAACCTTATAATGTTAAAAGAACGAAATTCGAGGATGTTGTCTTGTGTATGTCAGCCGTGACCATAGAGTTTTTTTTTAAATAAATATATATATCCTTGTGCACAAAAATTTAAATAAGCCATTTGCGAAAAAAGGTACATCGTATAAAAAATGCAATAATTTTTTGGTTGCATTTTTTTTGCAAAAATTATAGTTTCCATTAAAAAACACCGAAATAGTTCAGCAATTTTTCATTCTCTAAAACTTGCCAATTTCACGACAGCAATTTAAGTGAAAAATGATCTTAATTTTCTGAATTTTATATGGTGGAAATTTACAGAAAATAAAAAATTATTTTCCATTTAAATGACTGGTGAAACTGGCTTAAAGAAAAAATGCTGATATTTCCATGTTTAAACTCGTATAGCTCGCCAAAACACCGCGGTAGAAACAAAATTATTTTCAACATTGGTTACAAGTAACTACAGCAACAACGTGGTGGAGTTTTAACAAAATGCTGACAAAATTTTTTTTCCTGGTACATTTGGCGGATTTTTCCCCAGAAACTTTTTTGATTTTATTAAATAGCGATTTCTTGGAAAAGTTTTTTAAATACCTAAAGACAACGCTAAGACTCGCCCGTATTATGCATCTGTAATGCAAATATCATCTCTTTTCAATGGGTCAAAAATTGGTCAAGGCCAAACTAGTTTGAAAACAACTGAGTGCTATAATTAACAGGCACTTGCTCCAATTTCCCTGCAGAGCATTTCCTAACAGAAATTAATATGCAGGCGTGTATGACATTGAGTAACGAAAATTTTACAACTATTTTTATTGCACACAAGTTTAAATTACTTTGGCAAAACAATCAAAGTCCAAAGAAATCACAGCCGCAGGCAAATGCGCAAGGAGAGACGAACGCACGCACGCGCAGGCGTAGGTAAATGCAATAACAGACTAAAGTTGCCAACAAGTAAAGGCAGCAGTAACAGGAGAAAATAAACAGTTAATACGAATATAGCTTACATACATACATACACATGTACTTACATCTAATGTGGTTTTCGCATTAGGAGTGTGTATGTATGTACATATGTAAGTTGCCTGGTATTCCGGTAGCGCAATTAAACCCCAAAAACTAATCCCAAAATGGCAATAAATATTTGTTACTTACTACATACAAGAATGGCAGGACGAGAGAAGCTCGATGAACAGACAAACGACTAGCAAGACTGATTTTTCGATGAAGGCTGGCAGCGGCAAGAGGGCGTAAGCGACACAGACAGCAAAAAGCTTAAGCTGGTTGGCAGTGAACTGTATGCGTGAGTGTGTGTGTATGTGTTGCAGTATTTCGTGTTGCTTTCACCCAAATTGCCATTAACATAGTTTATTTGGTCATAAAATGCGTGTCCCTATTGCCTTTGGAGGAGAAGTCGCTAGGCAGTAGCACTCGAGAGTAGCAGAAGGGTTGGCATTGTACTACCATTTTGGGGGGGGGGGGATGGGCTGGCCCGCTGGCTGATGGTCGTTGATGCCATTGCCATTTTTGATGAAAATGCTGATTTGATAGCAAGCAATGACCGTGTTGACACACTTATTTCCATATATATGTACATATGTATGTAGGTATGTACAAATAAACATTCAGTTTTTATTGCAAATTGTTATCACCTCAGAAATACGCAAGCCTAAGTTCGTTTGTATACGCGTACAAACACACACATATTTCTATTGATGTATGTATGTCCATAAATATTCACAGTACACAACGTCAACAGCAAATGAATGTCGACAAAAAAAAAAAAATTATGTCATGAAATCTAAACTAATGCCACCAACATCACCATTATCATCACAAACCAACTGTAACAGCAGTAACAGGAATAATAATAGTAACAACATCAACATCCATCCATCAGCACTCAGCACTGCTGTACTTAGGAGACCCATTTGCATTTTAATTGGCACACGAGCTGTAATTGAGAGCCATAGTTCGATAAGAACGCAATGAGAATTTAGCTATATACTATATATGCGATTTGTGGGTGGATAGCGTTGAAACCACAAAATAGCATTGGTAATTAAAAGCTCTGTGTAAGTTTTAACGAATTCGAAAATTTACTAAAATAAATTAGTAGTGCTTAGATTAACACCCAAAATTAGGTTAAATTTAAAGTAACTTAATTGCAATTTCGCCATTGATTAAAGTGCGAATTGAGCGAGCAGATAAAATGTGGAGCGGTTATTAATGCATTACCTAATCACCAAAGTTTTTATAAGCCGGATTTGCAGAGAATATTATTTTCGAGCTACATATATAGGTAGATAAAATGAGAAAAGGTTAATTTGATAAGAAGGAGATTTTTTTAAATCTTCGCATACTGCCACCTTTTACAATGCTATTGTCAAATATCAAATGAGATGTATCACTGCCTATCTATATGCTCGGCGGCCATTGAAAGTAGACATCCTCGGATTTTCGACATATAAGGCAAAAAGGAAATTTCGATGGGGGTTTTTTGTAGTGTTTAGGATTTTTTTTTTATGTAGGTGATTACGAAGATGAAAGCAGGTTACACAAATTTAAAATGAGTGGTCCAATATTATGGCTTTATATTTTAAAAAGTTAGGGGATTTTAATAGAACATAGTGAACATTAATAATAATAATAATAATAATAATTATAATAGGTTTGAGCTTACATATACGTACAGTTTTAGCCAATACAATAGCACCGCCATTTCAAAGTGATATTGTTTGCCACTCATGTTTCTTTATTTATTTTTAGGATTTTTTTATTTAAATACAGTTTATTCTCTAACGAAACTCATATAAAGCAAAGTTAAAAACTTTTTAAAAGACTACAAAAAATTCAATAAATTTTCATCAAAATTTCAACTTTTTTCGCAGAATTGGTAGAAACCTTTTGAGCCCTTTTAATTTTAGTGGTTTAATATTACCGTTGAATTTTTAGAATTTTTTTCGTGGCAGAAATTCCTTCGGAGTTTTCCCCTTGCCAGCCGAGGTGCGGCCCCTATTAGAAGAAAACAAAATTTTTTGTTTTTATTTTTTGATGTTGGCTTGAACCGGGCTAGAACCCAGGCCCTGCGATATGGTAGCATGCACTGCTTACCATTACACCACAAATATGTTCCTCTTAAATTCAAACACTAAACCGAACGACGAAACATTTTACAAACAAACAATTCGCGAAACCATGGGACAAATATAGTAAAACTCCGTTTTTAGTTTTTCACTCTAACGCCAGGATTTTGTTTTGAGGGACTTTGAAATTAGAAAAATATAATTATTTCAAAAAATTGAAGAAAAACAATATGACTATCAAATAAAAAAAAAAAATCTGTAGAATTGAGGCCGAATAAAACTTTTTTGGTACATAAGGACGATTAGGTATTTAAAATGTTCTTTTAACATTTTATCATTGAATATCCTTAAAATTTTACAATAGTTATTTTCGGAAAAAATTATATGTTAAGGATGAATATTCCCTAGAACACATCCTCGAATTTCGTTCTTCTAACTTTATTCGCTTAAAAAAAATAAAACTAATTAAAAGGACATTTTCAATAGCTATTCGTCGTTGTGAACGAAATGTTTTTTTTTAAATAAATCATATCTTTGAAACTACAAAGTCCTTAAAAAAAATCCTAATTTTTATTACTTTTGGCCCACAGTTTCGTGAGTATATTGATTGCTTCATGTGTTTCGAATTTTATTTTTATTTTTGTCGCACGGTGTACAGGCCCGTTACAATTCCATTATACGTATGTATGTATAGATTAGTGAATTCAAACAGACAGCGTAACCTTCGGTCATTCTTTTAAAGAAATTTTCAATGTCCATTCTTTTCTACAGTTTTATTATCTGACTTCTATCAAAAATAATGCATAACCTAATATGGATTTTGTGAAACTGCCTACTTAGTAAATATATTAATTTTTACTTAAAAGTACAATTATAGAAGAAGATCTCCCCCTTCTAACAAACGGCCGGTAAAACGTTCTTTGCATATTCGCCCCTAAAGTTACCCGGTGGATCATAGTTGGCAACCACGTAAATACTATTGCCCCTGTAATAAATAGTGTTAATGAAAATTCATTCTTTCAAAAAAAAAATAAAAAATTGGTACTGCTACATACCTCTTTGCCATGCCAACACCCAAACGTTTGCTGTCTCGCCAAACGACTTGTGTAAAGTGTCCTGTGCCTTGACTGAAACCACCGCCATGAAAATTATAATCTTGCACCTCATCGTACCAACTTCTCACAGCATCTCTACCGCTGATATTTGTGCGACCCATTGACATAAAAATATTTTCGCCGTAATTATTATTCGAGCGATGCTGCAGCGTATTTCTGCTGGCCAAATGCTGTGCACATATAAAAAAAAAAAAGGATTTTAGTAAATATCTCGTTATAACAAAAAATTTAAATAAATTTCAAAGTTTATACACTAACTTGTGCCCATTCGTGTGCATATTTGCAGAGTCCAATATCCAGTATCAATGGTGGACTGTGGTGGCGGGCGCGATACTGATTGTGTGCCTCAAGGCAATCTTTTTCGAACTCGCCGAAGTACATTGTACCGTCTTGCACAAGTCTGATTGAAGAATGGTAAATGTAAATGTAATTTTGCGCTTAATAAATGATTACAGAAATTTTACAAAATAAAAAATAGCAACTGATAAAAAGGGTGTTGCTTGCGAGTAGTTGTGATTTTGTTGTTATTTATTTTTAATGCGTACGTGTCAGGGGGTCTTTGATAAGTTTTGATGTGAGTAATCATATGTAGTACTTATTATCATAAATACTACACAATTTTGATAAAATTGTATGCCTATGAGGCAGCTTTTCGCGCGGCCACAGCGGTTGTAATGATATATTAAATAAAGGTCTTAAAGAATTTGGAAAATTAGTACACACATAGTTGTATTTGTGTGTAAATATACCCAGTGGGAATTAGGAGCACGTAATAATACCTTATTAGCAACTTACTCTTCACCTGGCAGTCATTGCCATTTCCCTGCCGAACGTCCCTTACTTTTACAAAGGCATGGCCGCCTTATGTAATTAGGAATTTAGAATGTACATTTGGTATCAGACATACTTCTGAGCCGCTTTACAAAGTAAGTTACGTGTAATGCAGAGAAGTCGCTCGGAGTAGTTCGGCGCTTGGAGATAACTTCGGCTGCACGTTACTTTGCAACTGACAACGTAATGTGTCGTTGGAGGTGTTCATTTTGTGCTTTACTAGTAGATGACATTGGCCATGATGACAATTTTGGTACTAAAAACTGAAAGAAAACATGGCTTACCTCGTAAGGTGCTTACCTATTTTCCCAGTGGGTAAAAATATTCCTATGCACATACATACATACATACATATTAAAAAAAAAAAAAATGTAAACAAATAGTAAATAAAATGTTTGTATGTGGGAATGTAAGCTTCCTTTAGCGCTTTGTTCTGCCGGCTCGTTTATTGATAACCGTAACTTTACAAATTTTGGTTTTATTAATCACTAATTTTTACGATATGCTACGCATTATTTTTTACTATTTATTTGTTTAGATAAAAAAAGATAAGCAATGATGCTCACTCATTCATTAATAGCAAATGTTGAACCTGTTGTTCAAATAAATTACTTAACAATTTAGTGTGAATCATATTTTGTTCACTCCTGCGATAAATTAACGAAGTTCAGTATTTATAGTGGAGTAACTAAGGATGTCAATAGGGAAATGGATTTTGTTTTTATTTTGAGATCAAGAAGACAATAGCAATAAAAACTACCGTAACGATTTTGCGAAAATTTTAATAGAATCTTTTCTGCCGAAAATTTATAAAATAACTTGACTATTTATCATATTTTTGAGAAGAAATAACGATAAGTTTTCCTAAAACCAAAATTAAAACCACTCAGTTTGGCGCAGAAACATCATTAAAGTTTTGCTTTCCAGATATTGAAAATTTTCGGAATTTTTCGGGACCATTCGGGATTTTTCGGGATCTTTAATAATTTTATGGGATATCTTTAATACTTTTGCTATTTTTTCCCGGACTTTTGGGATACTTTCGGTATCTTTCGGAATTCTAAATTCGGAAATTTTAACTTTGCCTTTCACAACAGAAATGAAAAGCTGAATTTGTTGCTGTTTTACATTTAAAAATTTTTTCGGATTGTTTTTAGGGATACTTTGTGTTTTACTTTTTGTGATCTTGCGGAACGTATTTGGAATGTTTCGGGACCTTTCAAGATATTATGGACATTTTTCGGAAGGTACTTTTCCGAATTGTTCAGGACTTTTGGAAATTCTTTCCGAAAATCTCAAGTAAAAACGAGCATTTAAATTTTATTTTTGCCTTTCATATCCCAAATAATACAACCGGAGATGAAATGCAAGAATTCAAAATTTTATAAAACGAGAATGAATTTTTTCTTGTTTTACATGCCGGAAAAATTTTAAAAATTTTTCATGTGTTTTGTTTGCACTTTTCGGAGTACTTCGCGTTTTTTTTGTATTTTTTTTTTGATATTTTTAGGAATATTTTGCGCTATTTTTAGGAGTCTTTTGGGACTTTTTGAGATTTTTTGTTTTGTTTGGGAACTTTTGAGACTTTTTGGGATATCTTTGATATTTTTCTTGTCCACATAAAATGCCACTTTTAAGGTAAACAGTTAAAAATACAAATTTTTTTAGACCATAATTTAATTTGTGCGTGTATATTTTTCGAAGAACTTTTCAGATTTCTTCGGGACTTTTTGGAATTCGTTGTATTGTAATTTTCGTAATATTTTCGTATTGTGTATTGTCAATAGACATTTTTGGGGATAGCCCAAAAATTTTCTGGTAAAAAATTGCTTTGAAATTTTAAGTGTGCTCTTTAGGAATGCCTAAAAAAACATTCATCCAGAAGTGAAAAGCAAAAAACTCACATTTCATTAATTCTTTCGATTTACTTTTCGGAATTTTTGAGGAACTTATCGGAGTTTTTCGGAAACTTTCTGTACACTGTACTTTTTCGTTATTTTTCGGAAGTATTCGGAACAGTTCGTAGCTTTTTCCGGATCTTTCAAAGTAGTTTTGAGATTTTACTGTATTTTTTTTTCGGACCATATCGGAGCTTTGCGGATTTTTCAAGGACTGCCAGGTCCAAAATTATATTTAAATATTTGCTTTGGTTTTTATAAAATCTAAAATTTTAAAATTTTTTGGAAAAGGCCGATAACAGGCATTATATTTGATTGTTTTGAGTGAAATCATAGCGCTTATGTTTCTGAAAAACTCAAAGGTTACGAGTTGATCGAGGATTTTTGTAGGTTAAGTACGGTTAGACGGGTAGCTCTGGCTAGGAGTTCTCTCATAGGATGCTCAGTGTCTCATAAGGATTCCGGTGAGGTTTTAAGAAGCGTGACATACAACGACCAAAGTGACCAAAGTGAGCAGCGCATGCCCAACACGCACCACATATTCTCAAATCATGAAAACGGAATATCGAGGATTTAAGATTATTTGGAAATTCTTTGCTTCCTATTGTTAAATACTTCTCTATTTCTAGTTAAAAAATCGCTGATTTTCTTGTACGATCGCTCCACTGTCTACTTCTCGTTTCAATATCCATGTCACTCCAAAAACTGGAGCCATTTTCAGAGTCGTTGGCTTTTTACTCAAAGCATTGTTAAATATCCTCGCAATCGTAAGATTTTCCCAATTTGACTCTACTGCATATGTATGTACATATATATCGTTAATATGGAAAACATTTCACTTCTTGAAAGCTTTAAAAGAATTTTTGCATTTTCAACCCACATATTTCTTTCAATTATTTAACACTTAATGAATTAAGTATATTTCATTTAGTCAAACATTCCTTGGTGTGTAGTTAGAAGTTACATTCACTTGCATGCAAGTATATACATATGTACATATATGCGATTTTTTCATTTCTTTTTTTTTGCTTCATATTCTGCACGTTAAAAAGGCAACAAAAAGCATATATAATTTTTTCTGTGTGTATAAATATACCCACAGATGATTTTACATAAGGGTTGTACAAAATAAGAAAATTCGGAATCTTAATGCTCTCACCCCCTAGGATTGTTCTATATCGAACAAAAATATGCCTTTATTTTGAAATCAAAAAATATTTAAAGGTCGCCCAAAGCGCTCAAAGCTTTCCATACATTTTATACGGGAATAAGAGGTTTTCGTAGAATATACCTCATTGCATTCTCTGGGATTTTCTGGGGGTTTTGGCGGACGTACGAAAATTATAAATTTTCAAGAATTCTACACCATTTCTATGAAAAGTGTTTTTTTCCATATCAAATACATGGAAAATTTTGAGCGACCTCTAAATATTTTTTGTTTTTAAAATCAAAAAATTGCGGTAAATTTTTTTTTTAGAATCCTAGGGCGTGAGAGCATAAAAATTCCGACTTTACTTTTTCACATGCATTTTTGAACCACCCTATACAATAAATATGCTTATTACCTTTGATACGAAAGCTTAATTAAACACAATGAATTTATTCCAGATGACAATTCGACAATACATCTACTGAAAGAAGTCACTCGCTCATCACTGCTCACTCAATTAAATTCGAAGACGTTTTGTGCGATGCGAGCAAACTATTTGCAACACTAGCATTTATGAACTGGAGTAATGAAGCGTTTTCATATAGAGTACTCGCATTGATGGATGCTTTTTTTTTTTTTTTGTTGACACACCCACTGGAAAATTATGGCTGAATTAAAGAACTTGTGCTATGTACATATGAATACGTACTATGATAAGAAGTGTACATATGAATAATGTTTGTGTACTTCCAGAAAACAAATAAAAATGTATGCAAATAAAGATTAAGGTTCATTGATTTCTTGAAGCGCCCAATGAATGTACATATGTACATAGGTATGTATGTGTGTGAGCCTCCATCAAAGTGATGGGTGTGCTTTCGAGGCGATAAGTCTCGTTGTTATAATGCGCTGATTCATTGAAGCGGAAAATGAGAAATTTTCAATTGAAGTGAAGATCATAAAATATGTGCGCTGAAGCTTGAATAGTGTACCAAATGGGAGTGGTGCTGATAACTTAACTAATGCGCTATCTAAAGATTCTAACATTTATACAAAATCGTTTATTTGTGGAGAATTTTCGAGGAAGACTTATTTTATAGTGATAAACTAGGGTGAAAGGTGTAAGTTCTTGCTTTTTCTTGCTCGCTGTGAGTTCCGTATGGGATAAATTTTAAAAAGTATAGAGTAGCCCGCACTTTTATTTTTTTTTTTGGGTACCAAACTAAGGCTTAGTTTCCAAAATATTTTTTGGAGGGTGTTACCACCTGCTTAAAAAGTTAACTGAAATCAATTGATAAGGTAAATGATATGTTGCAATATTTGACATCCATATGACAATGCATTATTTACCATAATAAAGTGGTTTAAGCTTAAATTCCAAACATTTCTTGGAGAGGTTTGATACCACTTTGAAAAACTTAAATTAATTAAATTCGGTTTTTAGTTTTTTGTCTTTGTCTTTGTCACGGTCTTGCCATTGGTTTTGGTCTTGGTCTAGGTCTTGGTGTTGGTATTGGCTCCGGTCTTGTTCTTTCTCTTGGTGTTACCCTTTGTATTTGTTTATGTCGCTGTCTTTGACTCTGTCTCCGGCTCCAGCTTTATATATTACTTTTTCTTTGTCTTTGTCCTAATCCTTATTTGCGTTATTTGCTTTATCTGTATTCCTCTACATCTTTCTTTTTCGTCTTCATTTTCCTCCGATAAAAAATAGAAAAAAAATACTCCGCATGAGAGACACATCGTACGGATTGTACGGCGATTGTTGGGCAAACCTTTACGAACCTTTGTGATCATGAGATAAGTTCTCTCGAAGCTTTTGGTGTTGTTACAAGCGGCTTTGAAGTTGACAGAAAACGGGTGCTTATCGATTTGTTGATGCACTGTAGAAAGCTGGCCAACACACTGATGAAAGGCTTCAGCCTTAACACAGTATCGTTGATAGACCTATTCCTTTATAACTGGGGCAAACAGTAGAAACTCCGTTCTTGTGGATTTGATTTAAAATTTAAAATTTAAATTTTTGAAATGAAAGCTAATAAACTGGTACGCTAGACATAAGCTCGAACTTATCGAAGATCTTCGCAATCAGTTTTGAAAAGCTCAGTCGGTATGACATCGACCCCAGCGGCCTTGTTTCTCTTATATCCCATTACTTCAGCAATCTAGGAGCATTAGTCTAATGGACAATGGGCTGGGTTCTCCCTCAATAAACCGGCATCCCTTGCTGCCATTTAAAAGCGTTGACAATTATTGCCTTCTTAAATATGTATGTAAGTACATATGTATATATTGACTGCTGAAAAAAGCTCAACTTTGATGTAAAGCCCTTTTTATTTATGTATAAGTACTTATGCGCACATACATGTGTGTTACTCACGATTTGAGCACTTTCGTACATACATACATACATACATATGTAGGTGCCAAGCCATTAAGTGTGTGTTTGTAAATACCCGGCTTTTCGCAAAGCTTAGCATCATAAATAATCTGTTGCTAATTCCGAGTTAATATCGCTTTGCATGAACAGTCAACAGAATCTTAAGTGCGAATTTACATATGTATGTATGTATGTACCCTGCAGGAAATGTATCTAACTATAAGCTAACTTTAAGTTGATTAGGAAGGAGCTATAAGTCACTTATTATCTGTATACATATTTTCTTTGACGAAAGCTAACTATATTTCTATGGCGATGGCCGCGAAATAGTCAAGGGTGGGTACCTCTGCATTTGATGTAACTTATTTGTAACGAACTACTTTTGGGCATAAAATATCAATAGGAAAAACAAAATATTTTTTTAAATTTTTTTTGTTTATTTTTTTAATTTTTTTTACTTTGTCGATTTTATCAGATTTCATATTTGTTTTCATATTCTGCTGTAGGTGGTCCCATATTCGAACTCCGTCAGACATAACTTCCAAATGATAATAAGAAATTTCGATCTTCCTTTCATTTGTCCTCAATTAGAAAAAAGTATTTGCGAAGTGCAGGATATTTTAAGAGAAATGCGTTTAAAGAAAACCATCTCCTTCATTACTTTTGCATTACTTGTCAACTTGTTTCAAGTTAGCTTTTTGTAGTTAACTACAAGTTATATATTTTATAGAAAACCCGCAAAAAAGCTAACTACAAGTGGGTTATTTTTTTATCAATTGGTAAATTTTTTCTGCAGGGCTAGGTGTGAATTTACATATGGCTTAGAACATACAAACTTATCTGGATCTCGATGATGTCAATTTGAGTACTGAAATATTTAAACTAGGATGTCAGAGATTTGTTTCCTTTTAACCTAAATAATTTACATATCGATGGTCCTCTGCAATAACGAAAAAAATTTAAAAAGTAAATCCCTTAATACTGTAAAGTGACTCATGTTTCTAATCCTTGCCTAATCCATGTACAATCCTTACTACTAACATTGGTACTACAGTAAGTAGTAAGGATTAGACATGCCTAAGACAAGGATTAGAGACTTAAGGAACTTAACAGTAGTAAGAGTTTTTATTTTTTGAGTTTTGAATTGTGTCGTTATTGCAGAGGAGCAGCGATACATATATCGAGTTTTACTGCTGTAAAATGCCGGTAACCCGTTTCTAGTTTTTCAGTATCCTATCCAACTTTGATTTAAAACGAATGATTTTAAATATTTTTAGTTCTTTTGCATTCCATAATTTAAGGCTCTTTTAAAGAATGCTAGCGTTCTGGCGGAGAATCAAAAACGGCGTAACGTTTACCTTCTGTTTAACTTATACACCAGAACGAGTTTCAGTGATCTTCTACGCTGAAGATTGCTCGATATTTCTACAGCATGGTAATCACAGCTTGTGTTTGAAAGTAAAAGTCTACGTCCCTGACCTTTCTCGCAATTGCTGATAGAGCGCAGAGCCTCAATAAGGTCCTCAATTCGCTCACCGGCAGAACTTGTGGGCAAATACAAGGAAAGTTGTTGGCAGCAAACAAGGCGACTTTCGGCCACTTCTAAATTATGCTGTGCCAGTTTGTTTAAGCTGTGAATGAAGCTGCAGACCTGTCAAAACGCACGAATGAGATGGCTTCTCATGTCGCCCGAACACCACCTTCATAGCTAACTGTCACGTACATTATATATGTATATGTAGCTGCCACAAAAGCCAACTAAAAAAAAATTTCCGCTAATAAATTCGTCTGGAAAAGTAATTGCCTAAAAATGTATCTTTTTTCAAAGAATAATCATATATCTGAATGGTACACAACCAATTTGTGTGCTGTAAGTCTTAAGTTAATTGAGGAAACCCAACCAACGAAAAATTATGTTCCTTCACTGCAACAAATATATCGTTTTTAGCACTGAAATGTGGAATTAATGGGTCGCCCGACTTGCCAGCCCAACCTGGCATCCGCAAGCGAGCGTTTTTCTATGCCAGAGTTGGCTTTTAAGCCCTAAAAAGAATGTCGAAAATTTAACGAATTAAAAAAAAAATCGACATGCATCAATATATTTGCTCTGATTGTGCACCCTGTGATGGAAAATGTGTAGCAAAACTATGTTATGATACATTGCTTACTTCTAGGCTGTATTTAAGATCGTTGATAACTGTGGATTGGTTGAAAGCGGTGATAAATTTAACCAATCAGAGATCTAAGAGCAATTAAAACCACTATGTTACATACATACATACATCTACTGTTAGAATCAATTTTAAGCAATATAATTACTAGGTATGTATTTTTTTTTTTGAGTTATTTAATTTTTATTTATAGTAGTTTAACAGAATGACGTAAAAGTATGTTCACATATAAATATAACCTCAATCAAAGCTCATGTAACGCAAATGTAACCACGAAGGAAGGAGCTAGGAAGGACTTCCTCGAGCCTTTTGAAATCAAATAAAGCTCGGCGGTTACAGCACCAAGCAAGCATAAGACTTCTTTTTACAAAATAAACATTTTATTTTACAAAAATAATTCGATTTGTTCTTAAAGTACAAAGTACTACTTTTATAAATGACTAAATGCAAGAGTTGATGAATTCGTTGTTTTTGGCAAAATGCAATATAAAATAAATTAAACTACTTAAAATATCACAGTTTATAATGCTGTGACTACTGATCTCACATATCAAGATTACCACTATTTCTCCCACTTGTCACCCGGTCCGGTCATTCTCCGTCTTTCCAATTGGAACCCAACGCGAAAGGCGAATTCGTGCTCGTCTTCACATAAAAAATACCACTCTTCTTTTGCGCCGGCTCACCACCCATGCGATACAAATCACTTGCCGGCGCCTCTTCGTTGCATTCCCATTCTGGTTCGCGTCGCTTGCAGCGCGTGCCCCAGAAACCCACATTCGTTGTAATGGACTCGGCAAACATTTTATAGGCGCGTATATGCGAACAACCCACATAGTAGCATCTACGCTGATAAAAGCCATAATTTGGATAGAAAGTCGCATTGCCGGTGGGTTCCAGGAAACCCAAATTGCCGCTAGTCTGTATTGATTCGACATACTTGGCATCGGTGGGATCTATGCGAAATTCGGCGCTGCGATGACGAAACTTCGGGCCGGCAGGATCTAAGGCAAAGATGGTGTTGTAGCGCGCCGGTTTGATCAACTTTCCAGCAGCGCCAGCGATTTGCGCACCCAGCGAGTGTCCTATCAAGTACATATCATCGTAATCAGCGTTAACGCTGCGCTTCAGGTGCTGTGTAAAGCGTGCCAATTGTGCGCCAAAGCCCTCAATCATCTTGACAACCGCAAAGTAATTGACATTGGTGGCGCTGGCGCTCCAATCGACAACAATCACATTGAAATCGCCGCGTTTCAGGTAGGCATTCTTGACATCGCGATTGAAGGAGCCGCGCGATTGACTCATCCAGCCGTGTATAATGATGCTGTGCGGAAGGCGGTGTAAAACAGCGGAATTTATTATTCGATTTATTTTGAGTGGTGAAGTACTTACCGCGTCGGTTGTCGTGGATTGAAGCCGGCGTACAATATATCTTCACGCGTATCGCTTAGGCGCAGCTCACGTCCACAATCGGGGAAATCCTGTTTGAACAGATAGAAATTCATATTCATGCGCGACATTCCGAAGGGATTCAAATGACTCATGAACTTCTTGAGAAATGAAAAATCAAAGTATTTTTTGAAGCCACGCGACGCGCGCAAATCATTGTCACATTTATGCCACACGCAGAATTCATCATCTTCACTTTCGTCTTCCATTTCCTCATCCATATTCATGATTTGATTCATATTGCGCTCTCTCAGGCGCTCATTGTAGGTTTCTTGCTCCAAATTTGCAAGTACATCGCTGCCAATATCCCCATTGAATTCGAGATCGCGCATGGGCTCCAAAATCGCTGCCGAAGCTGAAAGAAGAGTAGATACAGCTATTTATAAATCAAATCTATTTAACTGGAGTGAATATTCTAAGCGATATAAATCATCATAATACAGATATAGGAGGCCATGTGATGTGCAGTTCGCGATGTGATGTAATATGTACGATGTGATATGTTAATGCGATGTGTTGTTCCATATAAGATCTAATTTGTCGAGGTCGCGTTTCAGTTCTAAAGTTAAGTGCTGAATTGGTCAAATATGTGATGTGATAAAGAACTGATATGATCTTATGTTATTTTGTGATGATGTGATTATGGGATTTGATGTGACTTCAATATAAGATTTTGATTTAAAAAATTTATTGAAGAATTATATGTATGCATTTTTTATGTTAAATCTCTGATATGAATACTTTGTTTGGAAATTTAAGTTTTGAAATTTGAATTTTGACTTCATACTGTCTTTTTTTAATTTGTTGCTTATGATGGTATATGTATAATTTTTGGGACATTCATTCTAATTAAACAAAAAAAAAAATATTTTTAAATGTATATTTTTGTTAAGGTTTTAATTTTTTTTTTTGTTTTCCAATTTTACACAATTCGGACTTCTAAGAATTTGAGCTTTAAATCGGACATTTTGAAAGTCAATATTTGAAGTTAATATACGAACTTTAATTTTAAATTTTTTTTTGGAATTTGGTGCATACAAGTTTTTCAAATAATTCAAATTTTGATTATAAATATAATTTAAAATTTAAATCATAATTAAAAAAAATTTCATTTTTTTATAAAATTTAGAAAAAGTTGGCATTCCTAATTTTTAGTTCCACTTAAATATTTAGAAATTTGATTCAAGAAATAAGAGTTTTAAATTAATTGAAATTAAAATTTTTTAGCATATTTTTATTTTTGCATATATTTTTTTTGTTTCAATTCTAGTCGGCCCCAATTGGGACTTATGTTTTAAGCGAAAAAATTACATAAGAAAATTTTTAGACCTACTTAGTCATTGATGGCCTGTATTCTAAATTTTTTGTTTGTCTAAAATTTTTAGTTTTCGTATTTAGGTTTAAGTTAGAGATTTAAAATCATAAAACAAAAAAATTATAAAACAAAATTATTAAAACAAACACTGTAAAGTTTTAGTCATATATTTTCTATTATAAGCTTGGAGTTTATATGAGTCTGTAAGGAGTTTTATGTTTTGCAATTAAAGATTTTTTATTTTTTTTAATTTTTTTTTTATTTTAATTTTTTGAGCTTTTGCTCCCTAAATATATTTTGGAATTGCCAGTTTGAAGTTTTGAATACTAATTTATTTTAAAATTTAAGCTTAATTATTTTTCTTAGCTATAAATTTTAAAGTTTTTAATTTTTAATTACCAGCTTTGAATTCGATTTTAAAAATAACAATTCAGTTTGTTTTGCTCGAACCGCGAATTCTTTTTTTATATATTTTTTTTTTAACTTTAAGAGTGAATAAATTTTCCTTAGAAATTTTTAACTGTGTGGTTTTGTTTTTAAAATAAATTTCCATTCAAAATAAAATCTACTTCATACATACAAAATTTGTTTGAAAATGTTTAAAATTTAAAACTACAAAGAAAAACTTTAAATTCAGTTGAAACTACAATTTTTAGGACTACAATTTCAACTACAAAAAGTAATCTCGTGTTAGAGGCTTGATGTAAAATTAAATGTTTTTTGTTTATTAATTTTCAATAATGTATTCGTTATTGATTCTTAAATACTTTTTTGAAATTTGACTTTTAATTAGTGAACAGAATTTTTCTTTAAATTTAAGTTAAATTATTGTTTTCACTAATTTAAAATTGATTTACCAAAATCTTTCTTATAATTGTTCAGTTTTTATTTTAACATTTTAGCTTTACTTTTTTAAATAATAATTAAATGATTTTTCCCAATTTTTTTGTTTATAAAATTTTGTTTTTAATTTGAAATTTCAACTTGAACTTTGAAATTAAAAAATAAAAATTTAATTCTTTGTATCTATATATTTTTTAGTCATTAGCTATGGGTGGCCACTAAGAATTACAAAAAAATTATTTCGAAATTTATACTTTATGTTATTTGAATATTAAAAAAAATTTATTTATTAGATATTTAGATATGTATAAGATTTTTTATTTTTAAATACTTATGCGTATACATTTGCATGTATATTTTTGATCTATGCTTTTACGTTGCGAATATTTTTTTATTTAGATTTTTTGATTACGAATTTTAAATTAAAATTTTTATCTCAAACCTTCAGATCGCAATATCACAGAGTCGTTTTTATTTCTAATATTTAGAATTAATGCTGGCGCAATATTTTTTTACATTTCACCTCATTACTTTTTAATTATTATGGTTGCAATTAGAATTGACCTTGAGCAAAATAATACAGCACATATGTATGTATGTATCTTGATGAAGTTATTAACTTACCACACTTGTTAGTAATTACCAGCAATGGCAGCAACAACAATAGCAACTCCAAAGCCTTACTAGTTTTATCGCACATTTTAGCAAAGTCGTGAATCACACAAAAAAAAACTTAATTATTTTAAAATTCGCGCTTAACCACAACGAGCGCCGCACTGACCGCCAACGACCAATGCGCAAGAACTTAACTCAAACGTTCTGCTAATTTAATGCCACGTTTAAATTTCGCTTAATTGGCTTGGTCCGTTGAGTTTTAATTTAATTTTATTTCAATTCAACAGCTACAATAATCCAACCGCTGTTATCACTTGCTGGCACAAACAATTCAGTCGTAAAGCCTTCCTTCACACTGCCAACAGTCGCTTCTTCGTGCAATGCTGCAGTTGTTGTTAGAGTGTAACCGGATAACTAACCACAACAATAACCAAGGCGTGAAGTTATATGTTTGTATGTATGTACGTAATAGCAAAGACTGTCTGATCCGCGCTTAGCAATGGTTCTCTCTGTGGCTCTGTTTGTTGATCACAGCAGCAGCTGTTATTGAACTCTGTGCGGCAGCATCATTGTTCGGGGCGTTTTTATACAGCTTGCCATTCAATGAATGCAACAAATAGGGGACGAATGTATGTATGTATGTAGGTATGTGTGTGGTGCGATTGTATTTTATTGCAATTGCGATTTGTTCGCGCATTGCCATAACACGACGAGTAAGTAAGTATAAGCTGGACCAGCTATTGGCATCTGGCTAACAACATACATATGTATGTATGTATGTAAGTACATAGCTGGCTGGGTGGTTGGGAGCTGCGTGCAGTTGACGTTACGTTGCGTTGCGTTGCATTGCTGATATTGAATGTGGTCGGAGGGAGCTGCACACCGATTAAAGCTTTCAATTAATACGGAATTCCATATTTGCGGCTAGTGCAGCGACAGACTTTAGTGCGTATGCACATATCTTAGTACAGTTAAATATGCATTCTTTTGCATATATGCACTTGTTTTGGTGCGTAGGAATTGAGTGTGTGATATATATGTATGTATGTACGTAGCTTAAACTATAAACAAATTTGTGGCACTTTATGCATTTCATTTGTTTCTTATAAAAAATTTATGTATTTAAATGGATTTTTTTTTACGATCAAGGATCAGTGTTTCAGAAATTATTGGTAGGAGATTGAACTACATATATTAACCTATTAACATCACAGTAAAATTTTTTGATTTTCTAAAATTTATTCCTGCATTATTTACCAGGTATTTACTGCCAATGCCATCAATACAACCTTGGTATTTTTCATACATTAGTAGGACTTAACCTATTTGGAAGTGAAGATGTTCAGAATCTTTCTTAGACAACAAAGCAAGTTAAATAAAAGCTGGTGAAAAAAAAAGATTTTACAATGTTTTAAAAAAAATTTTTTATGTTTAACAGTTATTTTCGGTCGCTTTTATATACCTTTTTTGCCCTTTTAAAACCACATATGACGATTATAAGCTTTTATAAGACACCTATTTCATGTCAAGACTAAATACATATTTATTAGGGTGTTCGATTATTCGCCTTTTTCCAAACCGGATTTCGCGTTATTCGAAAATTTTCAATAAATTTGCAATTGTGAAAGTGTAGATCTTTCAACATCAAGAAACAGCACACGAATAAACGTATACAACGTTTAAGCGCCAAACATTCATTTAATGGAATCAAATGTGTATTCCCAAAAAGCCCAAGGTTATAATCTTAAAACTAATTAAGGGGTTTCCTTAAACTGGAAAAAGCCTCAAACTTTTACTGATTCGATAATAAATTCCGGTTTATTCGATATTCGAAAAATCAAGATTAAAAAAAAAACTGCCTACAGATCTCCCGTAAAAGCCGGCGGAAACCGGTTTGGAAAAACCGAGTAAATCTCCCTAATATTTATGTATGGATATTTGAGATTGTCCGCTATGATGAGATCTACTTTGAAGAGTATTTTCCTGTTATACATATAGATGACTACTTGCTCACAAAGAGCAACGACTCCTAAAACCCGATTCAAGGCGTATTTAACAAGGTGGTGTTGGCCGTATATAAGTAAAAAATTACACTAACAAATTATACGCTGATGTCCATACTGTCATTGGTATGAATTACAACAAACACATCATTTTGACGTAATGGCCTCCGCGGCGAAAACCTCAGCTGTCGCCCCAACACCACCTTGTTTAATACACCTTGACCCGATTCATGTTTGTCAAGTGAAAATAACTTAGAATATCCACACACCAGTAATTTTAAACATTTTAATACTCATACGCTAACTATTCTGTCGCCATAACCCGAAAAAACTGGTTGCTTTTTTCTACGGGCTACACTTGGGGAGTTCCGCAAAGTTTAATGCATTCCACACCAATTCTGACTCAATTATTTTAGTATTTTATAGAAACCAGTTTGATAGAGAAGTTTTGCTAAATATTTGTACTAAACGCATAAAAAACTTGTATGCTGAGTTCGAATAAGGCGAAGAGCTAAAAAAAATAGCGACGTCAGAATCAAAACGAAATGAATGAGTGCATGTGTCAGAGCCCCCTGTTGAATTGGTGCATTCAGGGGATTCCCGCGCGTGCCATTCAATATTTTTTTGCACTACTTTTTTTTTTTTTTTTTTGCATACAACCAAATGCGGCGGGGTAAATTACTTATATAAAAACCAAGCAATAAAGCCGGTGCACTGCAGCCTGCATAAGCATATCTACATAACAAAATAAATATGTATATTCACATATACATATACACATGTATGTATGTATGTGTTTATGCAAGCATGTTCAATTGTATATCGCTATATGTATGTTCACTTAAATGCGTATCAAAGTGGCGCGCATATGCAGCTGTGGCGACTCTGCGGCTGTTAACGCAAATTTATCTGCAATTTTGCCATGAATGCAAAAATCCAAATTTGAATCGACATTTATTTGATACATATGTATATGGGAATTACACTTTTTCCTCAATATCTCCATGTACTTTTTTTTTTTGCTCGTGATTTTATACATTTGGGTGTACTAATTGTAGTTAGTAGATAATAGCCTGCCAAACGGGTTATTTCATTCGTTCAATTCTCGGTGAAGTTGTTCTGAGTAAGCGAGTAATGTGTGAGTAATTTGAAATGACGCCGCTATAAAGTTTTTACTTAGCTAGTTATTTAGTTCGCTTTTCTCCGGTAGTACAGTGGAATAAATGCTAGTGCTGGTAGATTCCAATTAAATTGCTGAAAACGCAACACAATTAGTACTATTTAACACAAATTGTAATTGCTCTCCATTATGCAATTCAGCTGGCGATAAAGTTGAAATTGTCAATCTATCGCTTGATTTTATTTCTGAATATTCATCCCTTTCTTTATAAATGACTCGTTTAATAGCTTTGCTGGAATTATATTGTACCTTTTTGATATTTAGTTGCGTAGTTAATAAGTTAGAATCATGTACCCTAAGTACTAATACATGTATTAGTATGTACATTACGGTGGTTAAAAAAAAAGTTTAAAACGTTAACCTCTCACCCCCTAGGATTTTTCGAAATGGAAAAAAAGAAAATCCGTATTTTGTGTTAAAACAAAAATATATATTCAGAACTCCCTCAAAGCCCATGAAGTGTTCCATTTATTTTAAATGGGGCAAAAGCACTTTTTTGAAGAAATGGTATTGAATTCCTGGAAATCAATATTTTTCGATCGGAAAACTCTATTCATCTTCAGCAGACTTCCAATAATAATACTCAATTGCTCATTTTACCATTTTTCAGTATTAAAGATATTTTTTTTTCGAAATAAAAAATAAGGCTATATTTTTTCGATACAAAAGAATCCTAGGGTTTGACAGCATTAAAATTACGATTATACTTTTTTTTAACCGCTCTAATATAAATACGAGTTGATATGTAAATGTAAAACTTTATGAGTGAGTGAGCGAGTACGCAAATATGTTTCTTGCTCTTTCGCGCTAAAACGACTGAACAAATTTTAGTGAAATTTAACACCCATTGGCTATAGCATTGGTTAACATAAGGGATATCTTTTGAAGCGAATTGCCAACTTAAAAAAAAAAAATAAAATCAATTATTTGAAAAGTTAAACAAAATGTTACAAAAATGTAAATCAAAATATTTTTAAGAGGGCTGCCACCTGTTACTAAATACTAAATCATTTTAATTAACTCGATAAATGAAAAATTTTACAATGGGTACCAAAACAATTATATTTAAAAAGGCTTTATTTCGAAAAACCTTTTGATGAGGGTTGCCACCTTTCCCGAATTCGGAATCAACTTTATTAACAAATTAAAGGGTATATATTAATATTGGTTTAAAAAGAAATAAGTTTAAGAAACTTTTATTTCGAAAGTAGTTTGACGGGGGTTACCACCTGTTTATAAATTAAAAGTCAATTTAATCAATAAGTTATACGAAATAAAACAAGATATAAGCTTAAGAAAACTTGCATCTGTAGATATTTTGAATGCGTGTTGCCACCTATTTATAAATTAAAATCAATTCAATTCAAAAGTTAAATTAAATATGTTCATATACATACAAATGTATGTGTCAAACCACCGAGGTTTAAGTAAACATTATCTCTAAAATATTTTGAATATACTTTTTGGGGTTGCCACTTACTCTAAAAGTTAAAATTCAACCGGCAGCAGTATTTTCCTCACTACGGCTTCCGCAAAAGAAAATACGTGGCACCACCACAGCACCTAATACCTACAAAAAACCCTATGAGAGCATCGTCCTAGTAGCGTTGGATTTTTCGAAAGATTCCTACAAAAATATTTCGCAATCCATGCCACAAGATATTTGACAACGCTCACTCCCGTCAACCAACCAAACTCCTACATATAAGTAACACTTCTCAGATAGGACGTTGAGTCTTCCCCTCTTGCACAGGTGCTCAATCATCGGAACCCAAAACCATTAAACAGTTGTGGCACAGGCGGTTTCTCTCATGCTCCTCTTCAATCAAATCTATATATCCAAGCTCCTTTTATCAACAGAGGTCTTTTCCACGATCTCATACACTAACAGTTACTTGCTACTGGAGTGCGTAAATGGAATTGTTGGGCTGCGCTCTCCTATCACCTTCACCATTTGCACAAAAGAGGCCAGGTTGCAGTTGGAGATTGATGTCGATGGCTATTTGTATTGATCTATCTTTGGTAGCGCACATAGCCGAAATCGCCAGTAAACTTCACAACCTAAACAAAGTCCCAAAGTCCCTCGTCAGCAGCACCGGGAGCAAGGGCAAGTAAACTTTATTGGCATTATAGGAGACAATTACCCGGCCGGTCCTAAGCTGTCCACCGCTAGTGTAATTACCGCGGACTCTAGAAGGACGCACTGTACGAAGCTGCAGATATGCCGCAACATAACACTCCGGACTAAAGCGGGATGTATTCTGATGCTGAACGAATACAATACTTGTCACCGACGTGAGTAGCTGCCCAAATAGGCGCCCTTTACATAGAACCAAAATTTCTTCTTAGTC